GGTTGTCTTATATGCCGAGTTGTCTTATACGCCGGAAATTACGGTAGTTTCCTCCGTATAAGACGACTTTCTAGGCATGTGACTTGGCACCGAAGACGGGGGTCATCTTATACGCCAGGTCGCCTTATACGGCAGAATATACGGTAATAATAATAATAAGAGAGAATATAAAAATGCATAATTCATATTTAAGATCTGGCCATCTTTTATTTTCAAAGTGGAAGTTGGAAACTGATTAGATATCTTTATTTTGGAATATGTCTTTTGGTTATAAAATGGAACAATTTACATATAAGCGCGCGCGCACACACACACACACACACACACACTCATGTTTGACCAATCTCCAAAATACAATGTCCTTGCCTGACTCTCTCTGTTTTATATCTAGCCCCCGCTTTTGTTGCTCTCTTGTTCTTACAAAGAATCAATATTACATTAATATTCTATCTGCCTCCATGGAGATATTCTTTTCTCTCTGTCCTTATGGGAGAATCATACTGACTTTGATTAAAATAAATACAAAGATGCTTCATGATGCCCCACAACCAGGAGCCATAGTGGTGCAGTGGTTAGAACAGAGGTCCCCAACTTTTTGAGCACCAGGGACCGGTTACTTGGAGAGAGGTTTTTCTGCAGACCAGAATTAGCGTGGTTTTGTGTGCTGCCTGCATTCCACAGATGGGGCTTTGTTTGTGCGGCCCAGTTGCTAGCATGCCACGCCCCGATACCAGCCCACGGACCAGGGGTTGGGGACCTCTGGGTTAGAATGCAGTACTGCAGGCGAACTCCGCCTACTGCTAGGAATTCAATCCTGATCAGCTCACTCAGCCTTCCATCCTTCCAAGGTCAGTATAATGAGGACCCAGACTGTTTGGGGCAATATGCTGACATTTGTAAATTGCCCAGTGAGTGCTGTAAAGCACTATGGGGCTATATATACGTCTAATTGCTATTGCTATTAAAATACATGCAGATTATCTAAAATATGAGCTGTGGTGGCACAATGGTTAGAATGCAGTATTCCAGGGTAAATCACTGCTCACTGCCACGATTCTGACCAGCTTAAGGTTGTTTCAGCCTTCCATCCTGTTGTATATTTACAAAGTTGATCTTAAAGTTAGGCTGTTACTACTGCCTTTGGTAGCAGTGTGTTTCTGTTGCCAGTTTATTATTACAGGATTACATTCAGACACAGCCATATCAAGAGCAAACCAACTGAAATCAATGAATTACCCAAGACTTAATTTATTACCTATTTCTTTCAATGAGTCTACTCTAAGTATTAAATATTTGGAATGGGTGACATACCAAAAACCTGATATATATTTTTAAAGAAAGGACAAACACATATTTTCTAAACATTTTAGTTGCTAAAAGTTTTAGAGAAACGAAGAGAAATAAATATCATATTTTCCAACATTTGCCTAGAGTAAAAACTCGGTAACACTTTTTATATAATCATTTTGTTGGCTTGAGCTAGTGGTAATTAAATATTAGTGATTTCTTGGGGTTTATATTAAGTCTAGCTGTAAACCATAGGAACTCAGTTTAAAATTAGACTTTTATAAAGAAATAAATTAAATGCAAATAATGATGGTAATAGTATAAATTAAATGAAGGAAAAATTCCTGTGGTATTTATTAATTTCTACTTTTTAGCTTAATGAAAATCACAAGAATCAGAAACAACTTACAATACTTTTGAGAATTTGTCATTTTTATTAAACTATCAAAAAAGGTAATCTGAGAGCAGTTACACATCTGTGACCAGCAGGAAAAAAAATATAGAACTTTGGTGCTAGAATATACCATATTCCTCTTGTTATTTATAGTTCTATTCTGATAATAACCTGCTTCTATAAAGCAAAGAAATAAGGGACACAAGATTATAGGGGTTAGCCTCACATTCGGGAATTTGGCCCCATTGTATCAGACTTTACTTCTTCCAGTTCAATACTGAATATGAAAAGCATTTTTTACTTGCACAGTATAAACTTGGATGGATAGACAAGACTTCAGCTGATTGTGGGGATTGTATTCCTGCATAATCAGAAACCACAACTAGGCAGGATACATTCACAGGACTGAACGTTTGGCAATAAGATATTTGCACCTGTTTACATATACAGTTCAGGCAATTCTATTGTTGCACATTTATTAAAACAGAGGTAATAACAACAGGAGAGTCAGGTTGGTGTAGTGGTTAAGGCACCAGGCTTGAAACTGGGAGACCATGAGTTCTAGTTCAGTGTTTCTCAACCTTGACAATTTTAAGGCATGTGGACTTCAACTCCCAGAATTCCACAGCCAGCATTGCTGGCTGTGGAATTCTGGGAATTGAAGTCCACATGTCTTAAAATTGTCAAGGTTGAGAAACACTGTTCTAGTTCCACCCTAGGCACAAAGCCATCTGGGTGACCTGAGACCCGTTATTCTCTGTCTTAGGAAGGAAGCAACGGCAAACCACTTCCAAAATCTTGCCCAAAAAACTGTCCAGGCAGTTGGTAGGAGTCAAGAGGTGCAAGAAAAACAAACAAACAAAAAAAAATTGCAGGCTCCTTAGAATTGATAGTGCATATACTTTTTAATATTAGACTCTCATAAAATCCAGTAACAAACCTAAAACCCACACCAAACTGAAATTGCTTGGTTAAAACAAAAGCTAAGAAATATGATTCAGTCTTTCCATTCTTATAAATTTAAGGATATTGCAAATTGCTAACTTCAAATCTAATTTATACTGTACTTTCTTTTTTTTCCTATTAGTCACTTATAATTCTTTCAGGAAGGAAAAAAAAGTAACATTGTTTTTGGTTAAAAACTTTGCTATATTAATAAGACATAACTAAAAAAATAACCAAAATAACATAGCTCCAAGTACTGAGGAAGAATCTCCCATATCAGCAGAATAACTGAAAGGGGAAAAGCCATGAGTAGATTATTATGAGGTCAAAATGAAGAACAATTCACAGTTGTGCCCTCAGCACCAACATAGCTGTATATAAGGCCTGGAACGTGTTGTTTCATGAATCTCAGTAGAAGCAAGAAAATTGCTATCTCTACACTAATAGCCACCTTTTCCTCATCACTGTCAAAGGTTAATGGATTGCTTGTGAGTATAATGGCACCCAGTCAAAGCATATCATCTCCAGACAGGTGGCAAAATCAGCTAGATTGTCTACTGTCATGCACACTTAAAAACTCATAAAAGAGGCTGAGGTGAAGAGAAACCAGAAAATTGTCACTTTGAACAAAATACCATGTCCCCGCCATGTACAGCAAACTATCAACAGATTTCTAATACTCACAACTGTAATAGATATTTAAGCTTTAGACTGAAGTGCCTAATATAAGAGTGCACGCCAACAATTTGAGATGACAAGAAAGAATACCCTGATCTGTAAAGTAAAGAAAGAGAAGGAATGCATTTGGCAAAGTATAAGCTTTCAATAAGAATAATAAATTAATTTGAATGATGTATGGTGACAAACATCACAGTTGTAATTCACAATTTTAAACTGCAATGCAATGTCTCATTACTCTGGCCAAATGAATCAGTTATTTTAAAAAAATAAAAACAACTAATTCATGCAACTACAACATTTCTAATGTTTTAGATTGCATTACATATTGAAATATTTGTTTGGGAGAACTGAAATTGTGTAGACATATGATTATATTGATATAGGGAATAAACTCACAAGTAATTATGAAGAGACCTAGAATATGCATTTGAAAAGAAATATTTATAACATTGAATGAAGATCTACAGGTATATATTGTAAAACTGCTGAAAATTAACAAAGTAGCTTTGGAGAAATAATGACTAATAAAAAGAAATGAATAATCAACCAGCAGAGCTACATTGTAACAGAATTATTATTTTTATAGGACTGTAATATGATCTTTAGTGAGCATTTTTAACATTTCATTAAATAGAAGAAATAGAAGAAGATTTTCTGCAACCACAATATTATTATTGAATGAATATATTTTCTTTTACATTCTTTTTTTTAAAAAAGCATAGGTCAAAGGTGGTTTTCTCTCTAGATGCAATTCAGAATTCAGTGCATGTTCCATCTGTTCTGTTACCTCCAACTTTGAAGCATACAAATGTCAGAAATGCTACTGATCTTAATATAACTAGTGCCCAATTAAGATTCCTGTAACATCGAATTAATAAGATAATGTAACCATTTCACACACAGTAAAACATTTTCTGATTCAATTTGTTTTTCTTACTTGACCCTCAGGAATCTTTAGAATTTTTTTTTCACATTTTTCTGTGCTATTTTGAGTAAATCTTAGTGTTACAATCTGAAACTCTTTAATCTGAAACTCTTCAGACATTTCTATATCAGACCCACAGGAAGGCTAAATAAAAATGGCAGAATCATGCCAATTTGACTGTGCTGTACTTTCTCCTACTTATATTTCCATGAATTAAAGAGATGTCTGTTTCAGGTGTTTCTCAAATGTCAATTCTTGATTCTGGACTTTAAAAAAAAATATTTCAGCCCATTTTGCCTAGATAATGATTCCTGCAGATTTTCATCAAGGTCTCCTTCTGTACTCTCTATACCTCAGTGGGAACATTTCACATTGGGGAAACTCAATATAAATGTATTTCTGAATTTAATCAGCTTTATTTACTGCACAAAACCCCTTTCTTTTGATCTAAACTAAAACGTCTATGAAGCAGCTAGTCTTGGAGACCATCTCTGTAGGATGCTGGAGAATCACAAAAGGATCCTTAATTTCCCTGTTCTTAACCATATCTAGATGTGTCTATTCATAGTTCTGTGTTATTCAAAACATCTCTCAAGTATTGTTGGGAGGAAATAACTTTTCCTCTCAAATCCCATAAGGCATATTATAAGAATATTTGAAAATGCTTTATCTGATGAACTTTATGGGATATACATGAATTGATGAGGTCACATACATATTCAACAGGGCAGCTGATTGCTACTTTGGTAACAGCAATGATCATCTTACCTCTCCATTTTCTAGAGGATGGATTTTGGAATAATACGAAGTGCATATAACTTCATCATCTTTTGCATAAGAAGGAGGCCCAGTGCGAGGACTGATGTTGTAACGAGTCAGACATTCTGTGTCTGTGAGAGCATAATACTGCCAGGGCTGATAGTTGTTACCATCTAATGAACGCTCCAAAATCCAGTTTCCAGGCCGTGGTGCATTAGCTGCTTTTACAATGACATATGCAATCTGGAATATCTGAAAGAATAAAAAGAAGCCATCAGAATTATCTATATTATTTTCCTTTAGCTGTTTCATTGGCCTCGCAGGCTGATTCCACACAACCAAATCTGATTCTACTGTATGATTTGGCTTTAAATCATCTAAAAAGCATGTTTAAAGCAGAATCTCATATATGATGCTAAAAAAAAAAAAAAAATAGATGGAAAATCCTGTTCTGCTAGGGAACTATTGCTCTGACCAAGTTCTAGGTAAACTACTGAACACAAAATGAAAAAGTTTTTGCTGACTCAATTCCATCCCCATGAGTAAAGAGATTGTCTGAGCCCTGTCAGTATAAGGGTTTAGAACACGAAAATGGCAATTAGTTCCAATGCTATAACCATTAAATGCAATGGATTGTACTCTTTATGAAAGGGACACTATTGTAGTAACTGTTAAATAAACAGAATAAATAAATAATCAGAGAACCTACTGATAACACACAGGACTGTTGGCCATGTTGCTCATTCTTGTCTCATCAATATTAACTGAAAAGTAAATTCATTGTTTTTTTAATGTACTAAAACTTGAGATTCTATAAATGTCTTCACCAATCTTTAAGACATTTGAATGAGGAAGAAAGAGAAACTTGTACTAGTGTTATACTATACTCTGAGCCATACAAAAAAAACCTAATAAGTTTCAGTAAACTGCACAGGATTTATCACTTAGCTTCATCCTTGCAAAATAAAAATAATTCAGATGTTAACTTATACTCAACAAGCTTTCTGCACATCTTGAAATGTAGCAGAATATTTTTTTTCTATTCATTCATCCTGAGCATTCATCATTAACATCCTAGCATTTTTCCCATAGGTGCAAGACCTGCAGATGATTTCTGTCTGAAGACTCCTATTTTCATATACTGCATGGGGATTAGAAACATTTAATCAATATTTATTATGATTTGTGATTTCAGTTGGTTTTCCAATTAATCTACAAAGTACTTGATGAACCCCCCTACAACTAACCTACAGTACTTGCTTTCTTAGGGTGACACACAATATTATATACTGTAAGCATAAACTGTGAATGTGTGAATATGTTAGCCTTCTTTATAAATCAAGCCTTATTATAAGATAGGAAAATGAGATAGTATTATTTTCAGTAAAATAATTAAGTTAAAAGGATTTCACACAGTTGTAAGCATATTTATGTAATATACTTTTGTAAGAGAGCCAGTTTGGTGTATTGCTGAAGGCATTACACTAGACCAGGGGTGTCAAACTGCCGGCCCGCTGGCCAGTTGCATCATACGATGACCACACCCACCCCAGCTCCAGCAATGCAACAAAAATGTCCCGATATGTCGCAACACGTCACGTGACGTGGCGAGTTTGACATCTGTGCACTAGACACTGGGAGATGATGAGTTACAGTCCCACTCAAGCTGGGTGACCTTGGGCCAGTCATTCCATCTCAGCCCTGGGGAGGAAGCAATGGCATACTTTTAAAAAAACCTTTTCCATTAAAACTGCAGAGGCTTGTCCAGATAGTTGCCAGGATACAAGACTGCCCCAAAGGCACCCCCCCCCCCAGATCCAAACCTATTGTCAGTATTATACATATAAATAGTCAGTGATAAAAACATCATGGGTGTTTGGAAAGCAAAATCTCCTTCAAACTGAGTTTCACCTTGGATTTCATTTTTGTTTATTTTATTCATTTTTATTTAATCCACAATTTTTTCTTTGCAACAATATGAGTTTGCCATTGTCTTCTTTTGAAATATTATTTTAGTACCCAGCCTAGTCTACAGTCCCAAATGGTCTCCTATCTAAATTCTAATCAGGTTCATCAATAAATTAGAGCCTAAGTTGACCAAGTGCTCCATTTCAGTGAGACTCACTCCCAAATATTTCTGTCCAACTTGAATGTACGGTTCCCAAATCCATTCACAATACAAAGACAACCCTGATATATGCTAAAATATCCCAGTTTAGAGCTCTTTTCCAATTTAAAATTAAACAAACTGATATCTTTTTTTAACACTAGAAATTACCTTAAATTGCACAATATAATACAAATTCCCTTTATTTTCTATGAAGGAAGAATATGCCTATATTTTTCTGGTGTCAATGTACCATTCTGAAGATGAAGAATTAATGAGATGACATAATTTTCATTTGGTGAACTTTAACAAACACAAGACACCAACAAAGGTTTCTAAATGTTATGGAGTTAGAATAAGAAATAAAAACGAATAACATTTTTTTTCTCTCTCTCAGAAACCAGAAGAAAATGTTTCATTAGTATGGTAAAAGATTTTTTTTTTTCAATGGAACAATGCCAATTAACACCAACTGACATTCTGGAATTTGCTAATTATCGAATGGAACAGATGAAATAATTAAAGGTGTTTAATTTTTTTTATGGTGCCTTGGCAGCATTTTCAAGTTGGCACTAAAATGAGAAAAGTAGAAAAATGGACATTTCACACTATTATGTTGCTACTGTGACTAAATACTTCTGGGATTTCCCAACAGAAAATTATGACAACTACATAAAAAGGAATTTGGTGGCAACTGCTCTTTGGATATCTATTCCAGGCCAACAGCTTCATTTTCCACAAAGGTGAGAACTATAATGCTAAAACTGCACAAAACTGCATTATGGAACATTTTCTTTACTGATCACCTTGAATTTGAATTGTGACTTGTAGACATCAAGCAACCAATCAATGATGTAGCCATCTTGTTTATAAAATATTATCTTTTTCATCCATTTGCATACAGCATGTTGGAAAGAATATTTGGCAGTCATTGTAACAACTATGCACTTAGCATATGAAAATAAATGAACCCTCCCAAGCTTGGCCTGATAACTTTGAACCACAACCTTCCTTGTCCTTGACCATTGATCACACTGATAGAAATTTATATAAGGTAGTAGCAACAACATCTTTGTAGGATGTCCATGTAAAGTTCAGATTAGGAAGAAATTATATAAGTGAAAATGAAATAGACTAAAATAGATTAAAATCCTATATTGTTAAAAGTTTCCTATTTCTTATTTCCAACAATAATCTTTTAATGTTCCTATTATGTTCACAAATAGGGCACAAACAGCTGTTCCCTACCATCTGCTAGCATAAAGGAGTTACCTTATTACTTAGGTTGACATCAACTGATAGATTTTCATGAATTTGCTTGACTCTTTAAAAATATTTGGAAAGCAAGGAGATGGTAAAGGAACAGCAATTTTGAAATGCATGGAAATTTTCTAAACCTGAAAGCATCGCAATATTTCTACATTCATTCTTAAACCATTTTTTTCCAGATAAGTTGTAACACATTGGTTTGAGTTAATAAAGAGGGAGAAAGAAACAACTGAAATATCTTTATTTGCTGTATTAATTGCTCTAATCCAGTGTTTCTTATCCTTGGCAACTTTAAGATATGTGGACTTCAACTCCCAGAATTCCCCAGCCAGAATTATTTTGTCTACTGTACGTCATAACAGAGAATAGAGACCTTATTATTTAAATTGGACATTGGAGGAACTAAAAATTCCAGGCAAAAAGAAAAAAGAACTCACTTTGCTTATGATTAGGATTTGGACCTACAAAATGCAACAAAACTATATAATCTTTGAAATATTAAAGTAGCTCTTTGAAGAATGGGGCCATACATTACTAATCATATCAACAATAATCAGGCTGTTAATGAAAGAATGACAGATGTGAAAACAATGTCGCTTGATGCAGAAATAGTGGATTTAAAAAGTGTGGCTTAAAGCTATAGAAGATATTCTAAGTGGAAATACAAGTAGCAGACAAAAAAATGATATGGATAAGCACTCATCATTGGATATATAAAAGGAGCTCACTGAAGTTTTCAAAATTAAAAGGTGAACACAAATAATAAACCAAGAGGTATGGATAATGTGTTTGCATTGGATTTACAAAAGAGGCTTATTAAAATCTCAAAGAAACCCATATTATGAGACAAACAACTGCAAAAAGATCAAATCTTATGACAATATCTGAATGAACTAAAGATTAAGACTTTCAGAAGTGAAAGGAAAGAATATAAAGTTGGTTTGTTTGATCAAGATTAAAATAAGACTTTTTTTAAAAAAAACCTCTTTATGAACTTCTTGGGTTGAAAAGTTGATGTTTTATGTATTTGTTTATAGATAAGGGATGAGTTATGGGAAGAAGAAATATCTGTTTGTAACCTTATAGGGGGTGATGAGCCATCAAACCTGTTTATACTTGTTGAGATGAAGATTGCATATTTGCATATTTCTATTCTTTTTCTTTATTTCACTTTTTTCTTCCTTTTTTCTTTTTTGGACTTTTTACTCTTTTTATTTTCCTTTCTGAGTTTAGTTTGTATAAGTTTTTATTATTGTAATACACACACACACACACACACACACACACACACACACATTATTTACTTCCTGAGGTATGCAATGGCAAAATTAGACTTTGTCTTTCTCTCTGTCTTAGACAAATGGATGCCATTCATGGAAATGACACAATGCAGCTTAAATACATCTAAAACATATTTTACCATCTCACAAAATGATCCTGCTTGATATGTATTGGTCTGTTTCAGAGTGCTTTATAATGTAAGATTTCCTCAGGAAATGACTATATTTTACTACAGTATTTTTCTGATTTATTATCACGAGAAGCCATTTTCAAGTTCTTGGAGAAGAAGAACTTGGAATAAATAGCACATCTGTTTTAAAGACATCCATTTGTATTTACGTTCCTCAGGCGATGCATTTTATGGATCACAGAGGACTGAGATGAGCAAAAGAAAAAAAAATGTAAAGTGTTAAAACCAAACATTCTAACTGCTGAGTTTTAAGCCGAGCTTTGAATTAAGAGGCAGGACCTGCTCTGTCAACTAAGTATCAAGTTAGCATTAATTTAGCACTGCTTTCTGATGAAAAAGGCGCATGACTGAAATCACCCCGACAGGCAATCAGGAACCACGGCTAACCTCAGAAGAGAATCTAAT